TCTTTTGCGAATTACTTATACTTAATAATTTAATATAAGGAGGGGACCCCCTTAAACCCCCCCTTTTATTCAGGAAACCTCAGACCCATTTGCAAATTACTTATTGTCACCAACGGTAACCCAAGATAAATTCCAATAGTTGTAATAGTGATAAGTCATCTAGTAGTTATAGTGGTAATAAGTCATCTAGTAGTTATAGTAATGATAAGTCATTTAATCGTCGTAGTAGTGATAAGTCATTTAATCGTCGTAGTAGTAATAAGTCATCTAATAGTTATAGTAGTGATAAGTCATCTAATCACGTAAGACTATTCTATACCGATCTAGCAAGATTTTTAAGCAATGCTAAAAGAAATGTCGGCAGATAATTCTAGATTTCGGAAAAGGTCGGCCCGAATTAAATATATTTTACAGTTAAGCTTAATTCAGCTACCGCTATCGATTTTGCTATATTAATGCTTTATACTAATACTTATCTTACGTTCGTTACTTATAATTATTCTTGCAACCACTTTTATTATTATAATTATCATTGCTACAACTATCGTTGCAATAACACTTGACTTGCATTATAAAGATTCGAATCTGCTTTTAAGCTCGGTGTGTATTTAAAAATATTTATCAACTTATTACGTCTTTTTAAAATAAAAATCAAAGTAAAGTTTTCGCTACTTATAACACTTGCAAATTAAAGACTAAATCGCAAAAGTCCATAATTAAAGCAAAGCATAATTTGCTTTCGTCTAGCGATAATCAGCTAGCAAAAAGACTTCGAAGTCGACTTCGCCGTGCTTTTATTATAGCTTCGCCGTTACGCGCTTCTCTTCGAAAGCTATTACTTTTACTTCGATATTCTTCGTCGAAACTTAACTATTTACATCTTAATCTACTTACTTTACGCAAATATCTTTAATTCGCATCTTCTCTTTCGTTACGGCCTTCTTTATTACGAAGATCTAATCGTTTTAATATCTTTTTATCACTTTCGTTACAACGTTATACAAAACGGTTTTTATAAGGTGCTAATAATAGTAAAGATACTCTTAAATATAATAAAAGTACACGCGGGCAAGCGGCCTTAAGTAGTATAAGTAAATGCTTTTAATCAAGTTACTAAAGTTACTAAAATTACTAGAGTTGCTAAGGTTACTAAGGTTACTAAAGTTACTAAAGTTATTAAAGTTATTAAGGTCTTTATTCTACGGTCTAACGCTTTTAAGATTCCGGTTTTAATAAAAATACTTTTAATAGAAACACTTTTAAATATAATAAAAGTATGCGTAAGCAAGCTGCTTTAAGTAGCATAAGTAAATGCTTTCAGTCAAGTTACTAAAGTT